GATTGCGGTGACGGTCGACATGGGCATAGCAGGGGGTGTGGGAGTGACGGTATCCGAGGCGCCGACGTACTCGAGGCCGACACCATCCTTCTTGACGAGACCGGTGGTGAGAGCAGGGTGGCCGAGGGTGGGGAGGGTCAGAGCCGCGGAAATGTTGGTGAACGAGAGGCTGGCGAGGCCCGGGACCGCCATGCCCAAGAGGGCGAGGAACATGAGGAACTTCATGTTGAGAGGGTGCGAGAGTGAGGTTGGTTTCGGGAGCGTCTAGTTTCTGGAAGGGTGTGTGTCAGTAAGTGAGACGCTTGAGGAGTGATCAGTTGACGCGACGCGCGCATGCTGGGAGGATGCTCAGGTGCATAGCGTGGGCGTACGTGAAGCACTCGTAGACGCAGACGTAGTAAGGTCATGGATCACACACATGCATGCCTTGTGAGTGCATGGGGAGCAGACGTACCTTGAAGAGCGCGAGACGGAAGATGGTGAAGAAGGATGGAGGTAGGTCGCCGCCGAGGAAAATATATACCCACGAGTTGATGTGGCCCATAAGCGAGGGCGCTAGACTGGTAGCAGGAGGAGGGTGTGGGCTCGATTGGGAAAGAGGTGGTAGAGCCGGAGTCCGAAAGCTCACTGTCCAAGAAGGAGAAGACCGTCGGAGCCGCCCTCGTGGTCCACATCATTCATGATCTAGCGGCATTTCAAGAACAGTCTATAGCGAGTATACAGGAAAGTCTTGCACTGGTAGGTCTCGCGAGCGAAGGTCTTCAAGTATTTATGCAAAGCTTCAACTCAATTGCTAACGTACGCAAAACACAAGAACCGACAAACATCCTCCCAAGCCGCAATCAGCAAAGCAACACCAACGAAGACCGACACAAACGAAACGCCCAATACGCCGCCCCCTCCAACAAGCCCGTCTCACCCCTTACACCCCCTTACGGGCTCCACGGGTAACACCTGATACTCGTAACCTTGCCACCCATGCCATGCGCGGCCAAGTTGCCAGTACCAGGGTTGTATACGGTGACCTTCTTGCCGCGGCAGTAGTTTGTCTCGTAGAGGCTGCAGGCGCCGTAGAGCTCGGGGCCCGCCGACAGCATCTGGTCATTCCACGCGGTGCCCAGGTTGTAGCACACGTTGGGCGTGTACTGGCGCTCGACGCAGCGGCCGCGCCAGTTGGTCTTGTTGCACATGTAGAGCTTGATGGGCGGCGTGCGCTTGTCGTGCTCGTGCGTCGTGGTGTTGACGGGCGCGATGGGCGATGCCGGTCCCTCGGGGTCTTGGACGACGAATTCGGGAACCACGGCGGCGGCTGCAGGGGCGGGAGCGGCGGCTACAGAGGTGGCCAGGGCGATGAGCCCGATTGTGACGAGTGTCTTGGTGAACATGTTTGCTTTGTCTTGAAGATGTTTGGTATAGCTTTGAGGTTTTGTGTTTGCAAATTTTGGTTGCTGTTGAAGACGAGAGCAAAATGCAAAGGTCTGAGTGTATTTCAGGAGAGACTGAGGTCAGTTGTTTGCAGGTAAAGCAGTCGACTGGCTAGCAGTAGACAACAGAAAATTATCGGTGGGGACAAGGAAGCAAGACCAAAGTTGGCCAACAACACTTTATAGTCATGTTGAGGGACCACGATGTTCGAAATAGAACCCACGCTGACGTCCATGGCAGAGGCATGACACAAAGACGGGACACTTCCTGCATTCTAGAGCGAGCTGTGGGCGTCGCCTATTGAAGACCTGATTAGGAAACTTTGTGGTGGTTGACAAGCCTTTTCGCTCGTCTTGCTCGAGATCCAAAGTGCGTCCAGAAGCGTGACCTTCGATCAACAAAGACACTGGATAAAGCACAAAGAGTCTTTCATCATGCGCTGAGGGAAATTTGTGGTTGAGGAGAGGAGAGAAAAGAGAAGTAAGTGGGTTGGTTGGCTTGCCCGACTAATCGCTGCAGGCACATACAGACAAAGGCCGTGAGCGAGTATCGGGCGTGGTGAAGAGAACTTGGACCTTCATAACATGCTCTGCCTCTCCACTTGGACTTTGGCACCATCACCATCTGGTCCAAGGACAACGCTTTCTAGCCGTTACAACAGCTAAACAACTGCTCTAGCAGCATTTCCAGCAACGATGCAAAGACCCTTTCTCTTTCGGGAAACTTCAGGGGAAAAGACGGCCGGTTGTTCAAGTTGCCCTTCAACCTCCCAGCCCCTGTAGCTTTGCTTGATTTTTAGCACAGGCAGGTGGAGGGGCAATGAAGAGGGTTTGATGCCCAACGGATTGGCAAAGATGGGATAACTTTGCGCTGGGAGAAAATGGGGAGAAGAGGGGATGATTGGGGATGGAAGAAAATGCGAACATCAGGGAAAGCCCACCAGAATCACGGAAGGACGCATACACATGGAAGCGTTCGAGGTTCGCATGGTCAAGAGATAGAGAGTTCTCTTACTCGAGAAGAACGCTTCGGGGAGAGGTTGCGTGCGACGATTTAGAATCTTGCATATTTTTCGCCAAATCATCGGATCCGGATTGGGAAGAGTCGTTAGAGCCCCTGCCCAACATCCTGCGATGAATAATACAGATTATGGATTGTGGTTGGGCTTTGGTGTCTACAAAACAGTGACATGTCAAAGTACGTGTTTGGCGACTTTTTGAAGACTTTTCCATCATTTATGGGCCTACCGTTGTACACTACTCTTTTGAGGTCCTCAGATTCGTCATGTCGAAGGAAAAGATCAAGACATCGAGTCCAACTTACCGCCCATTGGATGCCGCAATGCCCATGAACAGCCCCTTGGCCGCTCCCACACTATCCACCGCCTTCAGACCCAAACTCCTCAATCCCACAAGCGGACCCCATCCCACACTGTACAGCTTGTGAAGCTTGTCACATGCGCCCAGGAGCGCATTGTTTGCTTGCCACCTCGCCGCATCGTAGCTCTCCAGCGCAATCGTGCTGCCAATGTCGTCGCCCGCTGCCACTGCGGCGGAAATGGTGCGTACGAGCGCCGCCGCATCGGCTTGGCCTTGATTCAGGCCTTGTCCAGCGAGCGGATGGATCGTGTGCGCGGCATCGCCGACGAGCGCGACACGGTGGCCCGAATAGGCGTCCGCGTGGCGCATGCGGAGAGGGAACGCAGCAACAGAGTTGGGCTGCACAGCGGCGACGCGTGCCGGCACGCGGGCCTGGTCGTAGGCGCTGTGCTGAAGACGCCAGCCGACCTCGTCAGCGTGGCCGGAGGTCAAAGTATGGAGGTAGTCGAGATCGGCGACGCAGAGACGGAACGCAGCGTCGATAAGAGCAGCTTGGTCTTCGGGCGCAAGGCTACGGAGCAGTGCTGCCCGTGCTGGATGCGTTGACCAGACGAGCGTGGCCATGTTGCCTGGAAGGGGGAGCATGGCGACGGGACCGGATGGTAAGAAGCGCTGGTAGGCAGTCCGAGTTTGAGGCACCTCTCCGGACAGACGCAACGTCGCTACGACACCGTGTCTTTCGTAGTCCCATCCACGCGATGTGATTCCAGCGAATGTCCGGACAGGAGAGTTTGCGCCGTCGGCGCCAATGAGAAGGCGCGCGGCAAGCGTCCGGCCGTTTGACAGCGTAATGTGAGGCCAGGAACGGAGGTCGAGGCCAGAGCTGTTTGCGACATCTTCGGGACCAAGTTCGATGGACTCGACGCGGGTAGGGGAGAATGTTTCGATACCGCCAACGTGATTGAGTCGCTTGAGCAAGCCGGTTGTGAGGTTGGCATTCTCAATCATGTAGGCAATGGTTGTAGGATCGGTGGGACGGCGAGGCGTGAGGAAGGTGTTGGTCGAGGGCCAATCGAAGGAGATGCGCGCATCGCTGACGCCATCCCAGACTTGCATCTCTTGGTATGGCTGTACGCGACTGTGGTCGATATGCTGCCATGCGCCAATGTCTGTTCCTCTCAGTCTTTTGTCCAATCAATGTGTGGCACAGATTGTCTACCTTTGAGATTCTCGACCGACGCCGGTGTCAACGAGCTACATCGATTCGCATAGGTCGTTGGCGACGGATTCCTGAGCATTCCCTTTTCCAAATCCTGGCCATCAATCATGGCCATCTTGAGACCTGCGGTGGCTGGCGATGACCCTGCGACGCATTAGCCTCCCAGCTCTTGCCCATAGTCAATCCAATTGTTGTAGCCCTACGCAGTCCAGTGAGCAGGCTCAGGCCTGCTGGACCTCCACCTACACATACAACATCGTATATCTCCGGTTTGGCGGACGTCGAGCTCGTGGCGGTGGCGTAGGTTCGTCGGCGCGAAAGCGAGATTCGGAGCGGGTTTGTCCGGCGACAGGATTGGCAGATCCAACGCGCAGTCTGCGGCTGCATTGTGGTGGAGGCTGGTGTTGGAGTTGCTGGTGTGGTGTCGTGAAGCTCGAATGACGATGTTCGGACGTCTGCCGAGCTTTTGGTTGACATCCCGAGATCCCGAGCCATTCTCTCGGCCCGAAGATCTGGGAGTTCCGATCCCGGTCCGCTTCGGCATCCCGAGCAACACGAAAGTCGACACTGCCTGCTGAAGAGGTGGAGATGTCTTTGCATTGCTATCAGCTCAAAATCTTGGACAAAAGCAATTGTTGAAAAGCTTGAGGGCATGTCTGCTACAGCACCGACACAGAACAGATTCAACAGTTCTGTTCACCCTGCTGAGCATGCGGAGATCAAGACACAAAAACTCTCCGCTCTTCTCGCACCGCATCACCGGTGCAGCCAAACAACATCTCATTCTCTGCTCTCAAAGTCTCAACCTTCAAATGCGCATCAGCCCTTCAATCCAAGCACAGATCCGGGCAGCTCCCCGCCTCGGCCTCCACAGCCCCACCGCCCGGCAAAATCTCGCCGCATCAACCCCTGACAAAAAAAATCTGCCTCGCGAACAAGCCGCACACAGATCCAGGTCAGGCTCAGACTCAAAACACAAGGCCCGCAAGCTCTCTCGGACAAACTGGACCCACTGGCAGCAAAACAAAAGGCAAAAATACGGGATGCGAGACTTGAACTCGCGACCTTCAGTGCTCTTCAACCGGCTCAGACGATGCTGAGCTGATCTGTTAGACTGACGTGATGACCAACTACACCAACCCCGCTTGATTGATGAGAGACTTCTGGGTACAATTGGATATGATGTGTAGCCAAGGGGGGAAGGGGTCCTGAGCACGGATTTTCAGGGACTTTGCAACTCCCGCAGTTTCGCCGACGACCATTCCTGAGAATTTCCAATCAAGGCAGCTCCTTTTGAACCACTGAGATGGAGTCATGATCGTATTGATGATGATCCTGGGGATAAGAGGTAAATAAGGGCCTTCCACACGGAACAAATCGAACAAGAAATGCGAGTCAAGGAGCTCGACCGACATCTCCACAGTGGAAGAGAACCCCTAGAGTGATCTAGGCTAGAGTGATCTAGGAAAGCGCAATGGCGATTTCGGTCTTGTTACTCATCGAAGGGACTCCCAAGTCGCAGGCACGTCGAAATTGGGTTTCCTGAGATGCGTTTATCAACCGAACCGAACCCCGCCGATACCGCTTCCGAAGTTGGGGAGAAACCTCGATCATATCGTAGTCGACCGTCGTGGAGAGGGCTGGGGGCTTTGAGATCGGGGAGTCGAAATTGCACTGTCGTATGAAACCGACGGAGCGAGGAGTGACGCTGTCGAGGTCTGAGAGACGCGCAGCGACGGACGTCCGAGGGCATTCAAAGAAGTGGTGTCAGAACGCGCCTCCGCCGATACTCTGGCTGCCATTCCATCCTCTTCGTCTGCAGGTTGGCGTGCCTCTGAGAACCGCCACCCTTCTTCTCCTTGAACCAGCTGCACACGGATCTTTTCAGCAGCTTCGATCATATCCTTCTGCTTGGGCACCGGGCCGTATTTCTCGCGGGTCTCAGGCTCCAGACCATGGAAGAGGAGAGCGAGAGAGGACGATTTCCAGTCGTTATGCCATGGTTGGTGCGTCGCCCGGCCTTGAAAGATGGCCAGAGCCAGGAATATGACTGTGAGGAAGAGCGCTATAAACGGGTAGAGAAGCCAAATCCAGCGGACTTCAACACACGTAACTGAATCGTAGACAGTGCCTGTGACGAATCGCAATTTCTCAGTAGGGTCTGGACTTTGCCGCATTTGAGAAGTCATAGCCAAGGCCAGACCCTCCATGGATGCGTGGACAGTGTTCATGTCCGCTGTTCCATTGCGCCAGAGATTTTTCATCCACAAAAGTTCGGAGCTGGGCTCCGCAGCCTTAGCCGCAATAGACACGCTGCCTTCCAATTGCGAGTAGAGGAATCTCCTGATCGTTCTATTCGCGTTATAACCGAAGACCCAAACACAATCGGGAGGATACCACAAGGGCTCCTCAAGCGTAAAATTCCAAGTTGTGTAATCGTCCGTTGTGCGTTTTTGGTACTGGAAAGTATTGGTTCTCGTTTCCTCCTTCGACGGCTTGCAATCTTCCCAGGTTCCTTTGCGCAAGGTTGTCTTATTTGCCAGTACAGCGCTGTGGGAATACGGTCCAAGCCTCTCGGATTTTAGACAGGTTTCTTGATAGTCAAATCTGGACACATTGGCGTGATACGTCTTTACGCAAGGCTCCAGGCTACATCTGATTGCGAATGACTTCCGTCTTGAATGGCCATGGCTAGAGCAAGGGTAGCTGTGGTCTTTGTTGTTCGTTTTGCAAGATTCGTCCGCTTGTAGCATCAAAGCCTCGAAGGCAAAGGACTCCATGCCTTTATTGGCCACGCCTGTGGCATTCAAAACAGTCCCTGACAGATGGCTCGAAGTTAACCATTCATCAAGCCGGACTCCTGACGGTAAACTAAGAGTCCATTTCTTGTCTTGCTTTGGAGACTCTTCTGAAATGATCATAGCCGTGATATTATCGCAGGAAGAACACATGGACATCGAGGAGAATGTAGCACCATCAGTGGCCGAAGGAAAGGTACAATTTCCCGTTGGGCATTGGATTTGAACAGAGGATGCCGTTGGAGGATCTAGCAGACCCGTGTAGACTGCGACTGTCATTGGGGCATCTAGTTGGAATGACTCTGTGCTAATGTACGCTCCAACTGTAGTGTAGTTATTCGTCCGTGGGATTTGGGCCACAGTATTGAGCGAGGGTATTGCGCAACTAAAGTATCGAACAATGCCCTGAGACAGTGGATCAATGGCAAGTGCGACGATGATTAATAGCGCGCCGAATATTGCCAAATAGCTCCATTGATTGAGTCTCATCAGTAAAGCTTTTCTGCAGCACAAGTGAACAACATACCGTTTTTCCAATTTGATCAAAGAATCGTAAAGTAGACAAGCAGAGCCCCATGGTCCTCGAGTGGCCTGATCAAATAACTCAAGGTCTGATAGTTCTTTGGGTCGACTGAACCAAAGCCACTTGAACTGACTCAGACCTTTGGTGCGGTCAGATAAGCCAACATGTCCTCATGGTAATGTCGAAGTAACAGCACACATACCTTCAACTACAGGCTTTAGCAGCAGCGCCTTGAATGCAACAGTGAAGATTGCAATGATCGTGTTGATCGAGATAGGGTGTGGCCAGTTTGGTTGCGGGCCATCATGGTATATTGCCAAAATAGAAACCAAGGCCACGAGAATGATTGCTGCGAAGATGCAGCTGAGGATTTCAATGGTCCAGTGGAATTCCTGCCAGCGGCTGCGCACCATTTGTTTGGGCGGCGGCACTGGAAGGGTTGAGCTTTGATCGAGGCCTTGGTATTCGTGCAGTTCGAATGATCGAGGACCAGGCTGCATGGCCGACTGATTGCTGGGGAACGGCTGAAAATTTTGGACAAGGCTGGAGACCGAGTCAGCCAAGTGCGGTCCTCGAAGCATTTAAAGGTCCGGAGGCCTAGAGCTGTGCCACACTGTCTGCGCGATGAGTGTAGTACAAGGCTGCGGGGACTAGATCGTGGCAAGCAAGAAGTTGACCATTTCGTGATACCAGATAGTGCGCATCATCACGCATAGCCTTTTCCTAGTGAAGGAAAGCCTGTGTCGTCCACAAGTACTTGTACGATTCCCATCGGACTGCGAGCGGTCTTGACGTGCCATGAAATATTCCGCTCAGAGCCTGTCGAAAGCAAGACCATGACCGAAGGCCGGTGCAAGGCGTGGGCTGAATCAGGCGTCATATTTCGATTTGTCTGTGAATTGAGACGCTGTGATAAGATAGAACTGTCAACATGAGTTCTCCAAGGTCTGGCTAGGGAGAAAAGATTGCATTGCTGCTGCCGCTTTTGAAGCAGCTAAGAGCCAGTTCAGAACAGAATGATGAGGAGACACTTTCTCAACGAAGGAAGGCGTTGCGATTGAGTGGCAGATGCCCACTAAACGCGAGTGAGCGAATGTGGATTTCTGAGGCTTGGGCTGGATTCACCAGCCGTTGCAGTTCTGATGTGGAAGAAACAGCTGTCTCCTGCTTGTGTCTAGAAATTCCCAGCCGTTGTGGGAACTTTGCGCGACTTCTACTGAGTCCAGCCTTGTGGTTGGCGTGAGAATTATGGCGGCAGGCTTAGATAATGGCGTATTCTTATGCTAATGTGTCACATGGTCGCAGCCCCTCATCCAAAGCGTTATGGTGGCTTTTCTGCCGCTCTGTCGTGCTCTCAACGGAACGTGGGGGCCATCAGCCAGAACGAGCATCTTCGAGGAATGACGATCGTGTGTTGTGCATGGTTACGCTTTTGCTATGCACTTTGCCTCCCATACCAAAGCTGATGTTGGGGCGGAAATAGCGGTGGTAGAACAGAAAAAAACAAGGGCAATGTCGGGCAAAACACATATAAAATAGACCTCGTATGTAATCACGCCTTTTGCCTGCGTGTTCGACAAACAAAAGAAAAGAGGGAAATGAGAATGAAAGGTGGAAAAAGAGAAGCCAAAAAACTTGACTGAATGAAGGGAATCCAAATGACCCCAGAATGGAAAATCAGCCGAAGCTAAATGAGGGAAGGCAGATTGAAGACTTCGTCAACTAGACCGTTCATGCTCAGCACAATGACCTACAAGGTTGAAGCCGTGGCGGCAACTACAATCAAATCCTCCAATGGCCAAAGTGTCGGAGGGCAGTTTTATCCTGAAGGCACTGTGGGAGTTGCCTAATTTGTCGCAAAGCCGAGGCCAACGGAGTTAAGAGCGGACGAAGCGCAGCATCAACAAACGACGGAGACGAAGAGCAGGTCCAACGCGCCATCCTGATTCCAGACGCGTTCTCAGATGCGCTCGGAATGAACCGATTGGATCTCGGTCATGGCGGAGAGAAATTCTCTGCTGCTGTGGTTCAATGAAGACAATATTCCAGGAATTCGGCAAGGGCGGATGGAATGGGTGTTGACAACGCTGCGATGGCACCACTTTGCTAACAATGCTTCCTGGCAGACCGAGGCAAGAGCGCAGGAAGGGCGAAATGGTTGGCGCCTGGTTTGAAAAGATGGAAGATGCGAAACAAGAAGAGTTGTAGGAGTGGACATGGAGGTAAAGAGGTCAAGAAGGAAGTCGAAGCGAGGGTCGAAGTCGGTTTAAGCGAGCAGCGCGACGTCGAAGGATGACACGCGGCGCACCGCACGCACGCTGCACGGATAGCGAGCCGCTCCGCCTCCTTCGCTCGTCTTTTGACGACTCGTCAACCCTCGGAAATGGGAAAATGAAGATGCAGAATTTAGCATCGAATCCCTTTCCCTATCACGAGCAAGAGACGGCATTATCACCACCACCCTTGGTTTCAGCTCCCACCAACGGTCCAACTGCAAAGGCAAGGGGCTCGGCGCAGATAGTCCAGGGATGGGGAGGAAAAACTTGAGCTGCCAGCGCCGCGGCGCAGCTACGGCTGCACGAGAGCTGCGCGTGCTCTGGCTCGTCTCGGTCCCGGTCACTTCTCAACGGCAATACGGAACGAGAGGGAGCACGGGGACTTGGCCTGCCCTGCCCTGACCTTTCCATCCGGTCCCTTTTCACACCACGAGAGCACGACAACAACAACGACGACGCATCTGGAATGGCGAAGTCGACGATTCCAAGGCTGAATCTAGAAAAAGATGGGGCCCAGGCGCCGGCGCAGGTCCCAGACAAGGCGGACC